TGGTACTTAACCTGGGATTGGCGATGACTTGACCAAACACTACAATCGCATTATCGTCATTCACTACCCTTCTCTGAACATCACTTTTTTCATTTAAAACCGAACCTGTCTCCCTGAATTTTGTGACCAAATCCAGAACGTGATTTCTGCTTAGGTGTTTACCAGGTTTTTGCTCGTTAAATAAAATTGATGTTTTATTAGCATTTTGGTCGTTGCCAAAAAATGAAGCAATAACTGAAACCCTTTCGGCAGTAGTGAAAGAAATGTTTAAACAAATAACAATACACGACCCGTTTCAACAAAACAATCGAACGTTGTTATTTAACAAAAAATTGATAAGAAGAACTGCTTAAAATTTTTTTTATTTAGGCATACAAGTTACCGAGTGGTCTGTCTAATGTATTATCAACATGGCAATTTTAACTTCAAATTATCTCGAAAACTAATCGTTACAAAAATTTTCTTTTAACAGAGTTGTAAAGGTATTCGAAAGACCTTTAAAACAAGGTGCCACTCGACCTACTTTTCCTATTTAAATAAGGGTCGTCGGACGCACCCCACCGAGGGGGTGCGTACTACAAAAAAACTGATTGGTCTGAAAGGTGTCCCCCTTTAATAAGAAATCGACGTGTCCGAGCTTTTTTTGAAAATCATACTTTTTATATTCAAAAACGGCTCTGTTAGGTTTTCGTTGTTACACACTGTATATGTATGTGTATTGTGTGTATATAGGCAGATATAAACTGTAACATGCTTGTTAATAATATTAATATGTCTTGTTATTGGGATTTATTCCTGTTTAGACATTAAACCTTTTTTTTTAAATATTCGAAATATGCTCATTGCTTTAATGTTTCATTTCCACTGTTTCTGTAGATCTATGGATTCAGAGCCGAAAGACTCGGAGGAACCCACAACGTCTGGCATCCAAAGCACTCAGGGAGCTACAAACTCAAAATCCAACAAACCGTGGAGGTGTTGCATGTGCAAGACTCGCAGCGGATCGATAGAAGGCATTCAAAACCACGTGTTGGAGAAGCATGAAATCGACACTCAGTACAAGTGCGCCCTCTGCGTGTACAAGACTAACGAGAAGGACACTTTCGAGAGTCATTTCAAAGAACATCATGCCGGTCAGGAGATCGATTTGATCCATGTGTACAGAAAGGTGGGTGCTTGAACAATTCTTGGCTGAAATAACAACTTTTACTAGTTTGTCATTATCATTTTCGATGTTTCATAAGGTGGAGGACGGTCCCAAGGACGAAAAAGAAGCAGATCCGTTCGATACCACCCCTCTGTGGCAGAGAAACAAGCCTAGGGTAAGGCACATTAGGGGCATACTGTTTGACGAGTCTTCCCTGACCCCCACGAAAACCCCCAAGAAGCCTTTCAAGGCCGCCGCTGGTCCCACCCCTTCCACTTCTGCTGCCAGCTCCACTTCTGCTGAAGGCTCCACTTCTGCCGTCCCTCCGAAGAGTAACTTGGAGTTGGCTATCGATTCTGTCGCCAAGGGCACTGCAGACATTTTGAAGAAGGACTCGACTGATACTTCTGCGGAAATTTTGAAGGACGACGAACTGATTGAGCAGGTGGGTGGATTTTATACGGAGCGGATGAAATGGGATATCCTATATATTTTTACTTATTTCGATGGAGAATGATATTCTAAATCCAATAATACTTCACTTGTCAATATTTGACAAATAAAATCATTTTTATTCCAATTTTTATTTTTTGAACTAGAATGCCATAAATCGTGTAAATCGTGTCATTCTTGATCAAGTAACATGGGAAAATTACGACTGTGTGGCTTATGATTTTTTCCAGTTAACTAGATTTTTTCAAATGGAAAGGGAGTGGCTCATCAGCTTTTTGTGAAAGATCATTTTCTTAGGAATAATTTGATACGACACGCTTTCACTTTATTTTCTCTATTTTTCTGAATAATTGCAAGAAAGGATCATACTGATACGTTTTCGGTAAACTTCACACTATGCCTTATTATTCTAGTTATCCCTGACAAACAATTGAAGCTGTTGCTAGGACTACATAAACAAATAGGCTACTGAATATGCTGTCACTTTTGAAATAGTTATTTATTATCCAAGGAAAAAAGTATTAGATTTTGACCAAACATTCAATATATTAAACAAATCAATACACACACCTAGAAACAGTAAACCTAGAGAAGACTCGACACAAAGAATAGTACCTGATGTAATCCAAATACAGGCAAATTTACCTAAAGTACCTGGAGTAGCTGCATTGTGGCGTTCGAACCGTATAAAATGAGATACAACAGGATGACACGTTCAGTTCGAGCAGAACCTAGATGATGACAGTACGACCAGCTGTCAAAAGCGCTCGCAGATAATTAAATAGAAGTTATGAAGCTTCAAATCCTTTTTGTACTCACTTTTTTCCCAGGGAAAAATAATTTCATAAAAAATGGACATTTTGTTACCTGGCATCAGAGATAAAATGTCAAACTTTTTTCCCGTTACAGAAAAAATGTATTTGTTGTGTAGTTTATAATTATATATGGCAAATTATACTAGAAAGAAGAAAATTGACATGTTGCTAATATACGAAGAAACAAAGAAAATGCAACTGATGCAGCTCGAATTTATGCTCAGAGGTTCCCGAATTGTCGCCATCCCACTCGGCATTATTTTCCAAAACTGGAAAGAAAATGCCAATAACTACATCGTCAGTGAAGAAAAAGAAGTAGATGTGTCGGCCTATGTTGTACGGAGTCAATTCGCCAAATTGTTTCTGAGTGTGATATAAGTTATTTGTCCGTTTGGAGAATTCTTCACAAATAAAATTCAAGTACCAACTACACCAACATTGTTATGATAACGACCACAACCGAAGACTTATTGCAACTCGTTTTTGGCTAAATACAGGAGAAGATGTACGTTTTCCATTTAAAACTATTTCTCAGATGAAATCCGTTTCACAAACTTCAGTATGTTCAATAGGAATAATAAAAGGTACTGATCTCAAACAAATTTACATCTGATGCAAGAAGAAAATGTTCAAGAGGGATTTGGTTTCAATTGCCGGATGGGTGTTATCGAAGGAAAACTTTTGGGCCAATAATTTTCATAGGAACATGATCTTTCACAAATACCCATTTTTTTTGGACAAAAACAACACCGTCATCATGTCTCAGCCACCATATTCACCAGATTTTGTCCCCCTTGACTTTTTTGTTTCCATGAAAGGACGGCGTTTTGTAACGATTGAGGAGATGAAAACCTAATCGCTAATAGAGGTAGCTCAAAATGTGCATATCAGAACTGCTACGACGATTGACAAAATAAAAATTGAAGAATAAATAAATATTTTTTTGAGAAAAATGAAATTTCACTTTAGTTTTTGAACAGACCTCCCACATCGCATGTTCTTCTCCTTGTATATAATCTGGAAATGTATGTTTTTAAATTTCATTGATAGTGACATAACCTGTACAATTATGTGATTGTCTCTAAAGCAAATGAGAGTTTCATTACTGTTATCGAATTTACGTTAGCTTGCATGTTACGTCAAACTGTTTGTTAAATTTCAGGTGTGGTATTTGTAATTACAGTACAAAGGTTAGGACGAACCTTGTGCGACATCTGCGCTTCCATTCCCAAGAGAAGGCGGTTCCTGATACTGCTCCGGTAAATCCGGTGCCGTGTTTGGAGAAAAACGAGAAAATGTTCGATAAGATGATCAATTTGGCGTCCAGTTCCCACTCTAATGGCGGCAGTCGTATGGGCGGTAGTGGAAAGTCCGATGGCAAAGGTGTGCGAGAATTCTGTTTTTCATTTTAAATGGCATAACTGCAGGTTATTTCACATTGGTTTGCGTTTTCATTGTCTATTGCATTCTTAAATGAATAGAACCGATGAAAATCCATACTAAAAGTAACTAATACGCTTTATTGTATGATTTTCACTATAAAGGGTTTTGCAAAAACAGCTACACGTGTTTCACTATATAATAGCTGTCTCATGCTTGAGAAAGCTTCTGTAGCGAAACACGTGTCGAGGTTTTTGTAGATAGATACATAGATAGATATATTTTCACCATGTTACATATGCAGGGCTATTCAAATTCGTTTCTGTACAAGGGGATCTCGTAAACTATAAGAGATACAGTGTCGGTTAAATTGTGGCAAAGTTGCGTATTTTAGAGACCTATTCAATGATGTTAAAAAACGAATACAGCTCTTTTGGTTCTGGAGATATACAGGAAAAACCAATATCTATATCTACTTTATTCGCAGACATATTGAAAATCTGTCTACATTTTGCTATTGGCACTTGATGTGGGCTATCAGAATATGTCCATGAATCTTTTATACAGGGTGTCATTTGACTTGGGCAACCCCCATCTTTGAATTTTTAAATTATTTTATATTTCGGTAATATTTGATTATAATTGAGTGAATTGTTCCCTTTCAAATTACGGCCCTGGAAATTGGTTGACTGAGTTGAATACAAACATAATAGCGACTTTCACGTCTTCAACTTTCACCGTAGAGTTTTTCGAGAGTTCAAAATGTGGACAGATTTTCAATATGTCTGCGAATAAAGAAGATATAGGCAAAAAAATAATTTGATTTTCTGGTTTTTCCTGTATATCTCGAGAACTAAAATAGCTATATCCGATTTTTTCACAATAGTCATCGTTTACGAGATCCCCATGTACAGAAACGAATTTGAATTGCCCTGTATAAATACATTTATAGCATGTCAACATACAGTGTGTCAATTTTAAAACTTACAATGGGCTATATATCTCGAACGAAAGCTGATATCGAAAAATGCTTGAAACTGTTTTTAGGATAGTAGGCCCCACCCACCAAAACACAAAAAGATTACATTGCAAACCCGTACTTGTGATACATCATTGAAAAGACTATAAAAATGCTATCCAATGGTATAAATAATAATTGTACAGGGTGAAGCAATAATTGTGAAACTTTGGCTCAAATGGAATATTTAATGAGGTTTTTGTTGAACTTCAAATTCATTAAAAATGTCAATCAAGTAAATGTTCAAAGTGGGTTCCGTTGTTTTGTAAACAATAATACAGCCTATTTTCGAATTCTGCATGAACTTTGGCAAATGTTGTTCTAGTAATGGCGCGACATGCTTGCGTAATTCTTTCTCGCAATTCCACAAGTGACGCAGGTTGAGTTTTATAAACAACTGACTTGAGGTGTCCCCACAGAAAAAAGTCAGGTGGCGTCAAGTCTGGTGACCTCGGTGGCCACTCGATGGGACCTCTCCTGCCAATCCATTTGTTCGGATAATTAGTATCCAACCAATGCCTAACTGGAGCTGCACATTGAGGAGGTGCTCCATCTTGTTGGAAGTGCAGCAAATCTTCGTCTACAGCTAGGTTGCCTTGGTCGTCCCTTTGGTTCTCTAATTCAGCACAATTGAAGGTTCGATGGTGTTTTCCAGCATATCGAGATGAATGTCGCCACTTAAATTGCCTGGTATGAACAAGGGACGAATTATAGCATCGCCAAATATTCCTGCACAAACATTCAGTTTTTCAGGATATTGAGTGTGACCTTCTCTGAATCAATGCGGATTCGCATCACTCTAGTACCGACATTTTTGTTTATTTACATTACCATTCAGCATAAAAGTACATTCATCACTGAAACAAATATTTTTTAACATTCTCGGTTCAACGCGAATGGTTTCAGTCAGTTCACAAAACTCAATTCGTCGGTCTGGATCATCATCGCCGTTCTTGAAGAATTTGTGTTTTGTACGGGTGGAACTTATGTAATTTCAGCACCTTTGTAACCGACTCGTGTGAAAGTCCTGTCACTGCAGATACTTGACGTGTTGATGCAGTAGGCTCCATTGCAAAATTTCCAAGGACCTCAATTTGGGTTGCTCCACTCAGTAATCTTGGGGCATTCCTTTTTTTATTTTGCACTGATCCCGTTTCTCTAAACTTTTCAACTAAATCGCGGACGCACACGTGATTTACATTTTTGTCATTCAATTCCAACTTGATTGTCTTTTGATTCATGTAAAGCTTCCAATGCAGTTTATCATTTCTCAGTTTAAAAGATATGAGCCAAATATTGGTTTTATGGAACTGTGGTTGTAATATGTGAGATTGATGACTTGTTTATTTTCAGTTTTATGCTTGATGATGGGGTTAAACCCGAAACCGGTCGTTTAAATTAAATTAACTAGTGGTATTTAGACAAAAGTGTTTTTATTTATTTAATCAAAGTGAACTGTGGTTGTAATCATACTATACATATCAGTTGATGATGTCCATAAACTATTAGATTAGAGAATTCTTTCTCGTATAGTTCAAGTAAAAGATATATGCCCCCTACAATTCCAGCAGTTCCCCTTTAATGACGCACACAACGCGGTACTCATCGCTACATTCACCGTAACATGACTTCAAATTTAATTTTTCCAATACAAACCGCCAATTCTTCAGTCCACGTGGACTAATTCGTTGCGGCATAATTCCTTTGTATTGGTTTTTTTTGGCCTTTGACTTCGCCGACACCTTTAAGATTACTATATGGGTTACTTCGACTATACTTGTTATTCCCGAAGGAGGATTCACAAAGAGAATATGTCAATATGCGAAGAAAGTCATGTGTAGGCCTGGTCTCTGTTTGTAAAAACAGATTTGAACAGATTTTTAACAGATTTTATACAACATTTATTCACATCTGCCTGTGTTCATGGATGGTTTGGAAATTATTTGTTTCAAAGAAATCAGTTTATGTATATGGAAGAAAGAAAGATCTTTGAGAGGTCAAAGAGTATATTCTTTTAATTTGAAAGGGTTATATTTTTAGGAGTGACTAATTTTTGGGAAAGAAAGTTTTTGGTTTTCTACTACTAAATCTTGATACAGACAAATGTGGGAATCTTCTAAAAAAAGGAAGAAAGTAATCAATGTTAAAAGAAGTAACTTTATACATAGATGTGTAGATCATGGAGGTAAATGTGTCAAATCTACTGTTCGGGTGTCGTCCATTACCTTGTCTGTTGCTTCATGCATTTGATAATGTCCACCAGAGTTGTATATAGAAGGTCGGGTATAAAATCCTGCAGATCACACCCAACAAACCCAGGAAATTGCTTCGATACAGATACTTTTGGTAATTCACAAGGATCAGTAATTGGATCTGATCTCTTTCTGATCTACATTTAGTCTCTGATATGAACTTGAGAAGTAGAATTCAATTATTTGCTGTATCTTTATTGTATATTTTTGGAAAAGCATTGATGAAATTAATACTGGAAATTACCTTCAATAAGATTCCATGTGACTAGCAGCTCATAAATTAGCATTATATTCAAAAAAATGGTCGTTTTCATTCATTTCCAAGAGTTCTTTATCAACAAGTCTATCTTATTGAGTATTTGAGATTATATACTGATTCGTCTCGGAGTTTTATGTGGAATAAGGGATCACTTAGTAAAAAACTACCTATTTAAAAATGGAAAACAGCAGTTGAATACATTTGATGACCTTTGAAAACACTTCAAAATTAAACAGTGAAGTATATTCGCAAACTACTTTTTTCTGGAACTCTCAGTGAATTTGTACAAATGGAAACAACCTTTGAAATTCATCTAAAAAATCTCTTGCACCGCTAATAACATGTATGAAAGTTGTTCATTGTTCAAAATGAAAATGAAATAATGTCTTGAATACCTTTCTCAAGCTTAACATTTTGCATGTCTAGTTTTCTCAGAGCTATTCCTATCTTTGATGTTGAATGAGTTTCCAAAGGTTCTGATATAATAAACTGAAGCCTAACAAGCTCTATACGTTTTTTTTTTCTGTTTATATTGTAGAAAAGGAAACTGAGAAGCTTCCCGAGTACATCTCCCCTCAGTACCGTTTCGCTTGCTGCGCACAGAACTGCAACTACATCTGCCCCGAAGAGGGCAACCTCCGTCACCACCTGATGGCTCTCCATAACGGCGAAACATCTTTTACGTGCGTACACTGCAAGGCGGACATCACTCCCACTGACGTTGACCACATCATCAAGCACCTCAAGCTGCACGGTCTGCAGTTGTTCAAGTGCTTCTACTGCAGCTTTGTGAGTCACCTCAAAAGCAAAGCCGAGAAGCACGTCAACGATTATCACGCCGATTTGCCGAGTAAAGTGGTAACTGTGAGGTGAGTAGTGATTGGTCCCACGTTGGGCGCCACTTTTTTTCAACATATCAGGGCCAATTCCAGTCATGCGTTTGTTAATCTAACGAAGACTGAATTCCCCACTTTTTAGCGATTTTTCATTTCTTCAACATGAAAAATATTTTGAATTCCAGTATTTCCTGCAACAATGGAAACCAGTTTATTTGCTTTCAATATTTTTCAGTAAACTTCGCCGATATGGATTCGACTCCCAACTCTTAAACCTTTTCCGCTCATACTTAACTGAACGTATCCTATTCATAGATTATAGGGGTCACAAGTCGTTCCAATTTATTGCAAACAGTGGTGCCCCTCAAGGAAGCAATTTAGCACCTCTTTTATTCTCACTCTTCATTAACGTCGTAGGAAATAATCTCTCTAGCAATTTCTTACTCTTTGCAGATGATTTGAAAATCTTTCGGCCCGATACATCACAGGAGGACTGCTTAATCTTACAAAAAGACCTTGACTTTTTGTACAATTGGCGTACCGAAAATAATCTTCCCCTCAATACAAACAAATGTAAATACTCAAAATGCACCCTTAAACATGATGTTATTTCTCATGATTACTGCATAAATAACACACCTCTTCAAATAAGCACTCTTCAACGGGATTTTGGTGTCACATTTGACCCTAAACTGAGAGTTTCTCCATCCACTATGACACGATAACATGCTCAGCCAAACGGATGCTAGGGCTCATTTATCGTAACTATAAGAACTTTCGTAACAGATACAGTTTTTTAACTTTTTTCAATGCATACGTCAAATCTCGGCTGGAATATGCCTCCCTTATATGGTCACCCATATACAATGTCCACATAAACAAAATCAAGTCTATACAGAGAGGATTCATGAAATATATTACTTACAAGCTAGAAGGAGTTTACCCTTAACAAGGCATCGACAACAGAATACTACTGAATAAATTTAATCTATTATCCCTTCAAAACCGGAGAACCTACTACTCTATAATTTTCATTTATAAACTAGTGAATAATCTGATTGACTGTCCCGAACTACTCTCCCACTTCAACTTTCATGTTCCACGAATCAATTCTAGAAATGAACTGACTTTTTATCTACGAAATTCTAGAACAGCTCGCTAGTATATCATTAAAGCGATTCGTAAGTCATGTGATGAATTCATATCACCTGTTGTTCATGTTCTTTTGAAATATAATCCCAATTTGCTTACAGGGTGAATAATGAAATCATTCTACATTTCTTGCTACATTATATTTCGATTCTGGGTCGTATCTCATTTCTTGTTTATAAATGATAAATGTAACTCATACCATCTAATTTTATTTTTGGAGGTAAATGTTTTGAACAGATTTTCTGTCGACTGAATCGAATTTAAAAACAGTATGTTGCCACATGTTGCCAGCCTCTAAATTGACTTCCACTGGATCACGAAGTGAATGTTAATAACTCAGGTGACAGGAATATAGAAAAGATAATTCATTGAAGTTGTAAATGAGGCCAGAGCCTAGATACAGATCTTTCACAATCTGATACTTCTTAGTTCCGTTCTAGTATAAACCTACTTTCCTTATTTGAGTTTCTCGCACATTTGTGGAAATACATTTCTTCATATTTGGATATTTTTCAAGAAGAAAACGGGTCTAATGGGCTATCAACTATATCGCTGCGCTTTTTGTGACTTTTCCTCGTCGAATTCCAACGATTTCAAGAAGCACGCCTCGAGGTCTCAAGCTTGCAGAAGAAAAGATAATTCCTCGAAGCCCTACAAATGCGTTCACTGTGGAAAATGTATGAAAAATCCCCACGTTTTCGTAGAACATGTCCAAGTTCATGGAATTCTCAGATTCGCTTGTTCCCTGTGCGAAACCAAGTTTCCGACACCCAATCTTGCCAAGTAAGTAAACGTATTTTGTTTTTACAATGTGATTATCATAGATAGACAAGTTTCTGTGCAAAAGAGTTCAGTCTAGTAAATATGGCGACTTGGTGTCTTAGACGGATTGAAGTATCTTCAGGAGTGCCTCAGGGAGCTCACATGAGCCCACAGTTTGATTTATTTTGCATATTTGCAGATTATTTTAAGATGATCATAACATCTCAGATACTGTGGAACTGCAGTATGATTTTGATAACTTTTCTGAATGATGTGGCATCAACTCATTATACTTGAATCCAGATAAACGTTAGGAAATGACTTTTTCGACGATCAGTAATTGATTTTGGAATTATATTTGATTCAAGAACGTCTTTTAAGTACCATATAATGAAAACTTCATTTTGTAAATACTTGAGTCTGCTAAAATCGTGAGTGTTGAATGTATATTAATAATGGATGTTAGGCAACTTTTTTATATTCAGGTTTGTATAAAACAACATTTAAATAAAAAAAATCTGATATTACCTGCCCATTCATATAATACTAGACAGAGAAATAGATATGTCATTCCCAAAATGAATAAAACAGTTGGACAGAAATGTTTTCATCATATAGCACCTAAAATATATAATGACCTACCTGAGAACTTAAAATCTGAAACTTCTTTGAAAAAATTCAANGCAACTTGTTCTTCTAGTAACTCCTGCTATATACTTTATGGTTCTTTTTTGAATTTTGAGTATTCTCAAACAATCACTAGATGCTCCCCAAGCTATAATACCATAGGAAATGTTGGTAGTACATTAATAAGAGTGATCTATTTACATTCCAGCGTAGTTGTTGAATACAATAAGATATTGAGGATATCTTTTTACAAATCATATCAATATGCTTGTTCCATGTGAGATTTTCTGTTATCTTCAAAATTTTGTCCCCTCTTATTGTTGAATTGATCCATTAATTGACGTTACTAGTAAACTGTGATCTGTAGTGGTTCTTGAATGATTAAAACGTAAAAGCACAGTTTTTCTTTCATTCAACAAGGTCTGACAACCACTTTTGTTTTTTTTATTTCATCAGATGCTTTATTAACTGTGGCTTTAATATTTTCCTGAGTTATCAATAAAGATGTGTCACCAGCATACATAACGAACTATAAACAGTATAAAAATCATTTAACATATATTATATATAAGAGTGGACCTAATATAGAACCCTGAAGAACCCCGAGGGAACAATTTTTAGATTCTGATTTATTTCTGCTAACCTCTACATAGTAGTGTCTACTATAGTGATCAGTATGGTTTTCACAGGTCTAGAAATACAAAGGCACAGCAATGGATCCCATTACAAAAATTCACACTTGAATTGACAGTGATGAGAAATGTTGCCTCTCGTCTTTAGATTTGTGTAAAGCATCATTTGGTACTGTACATTATGATATATTGATCTCACAACTAAACAATTTTGGCATTAGAGGGAATATCCAAATTGTTTTGTGAATTATATAAGCTATAGTCAACAATATGTTTGTATAGGAAATCAAAACAGTTCCATAAGAAAAATAAATTCTGGGGTACCACAAGGATCTATTCTTGGTCCGCTTCTTTTTTAATGTACATAAACTCATAAGCAAATTTATCTCTGAAGAATCAGTTGAATTATTTGTTGATTATACAACAATTATATACTCTTCCGATAACTTTGACAAAATTCAAGATTAAAAACATATATGAAACAATTTTAGGTTGGCTACAAGAACGTAAATCAACTCAAAATTAAAAAAAATCTTCGTATATGAATATTTCTGGAAGATTATTGATTAGTTATACTAATCCTATAATTGTTGATAA